GCTTAGCCCGAATAACCTTTGGCCACGAGGCCCTGCTATGAGCCCCATGTTCTGCCCCAGACCCCCAAAGGGATCTAAGTATTAGATCCCCTAGAACCATATGGGAAATTATATGAGGATTATATAGGGGTTATAATGGGTTTATATAGGGGATCTAATTTTTAGATCCTCCCAGGGGTCTGGGGCCTTCTTCTTCCCTATCAGCCCAGTCACGGAGCCTCTGCTTGGGACACAAAGGGGCCAGGGTTCGATCTTTGACTGTAGATCCTCAACAATAAGCCCCAAACCCCAGCCCTTAAACCCTAAAACCTAAATCCTCAAACTTGAGTCCCTCAACCCCAAACCCTAAAACTTAAACCCTAGGTTGTCAACCCTCAACCCTAGGAGTCCAGTAGTCTGGGACATCAGCTTGCAGAATCTCTTGTCTTAGTAAGTATGGAGGGGTACTGACTTTGGGTTTAGGGTTGTATACATACGTACATATATACACATACGTGTACATATATATATACACATACATACATACATACATACATACATACATACATACATACGTACATACATACATACATACATATATACATATATTTGTATATACACACATATACATAGGAATGGAGAATCAAAAGGAAAAGAATGTGGAAATCATATGGAATCTGGTGTTCTTATATAGTGGCGTACAGGGCTTATAGACCGAGTAAGTCTACTTAGCATTTGGCATTAATGTTGTAGCTGCTTTAGTGTAGAGGCCCGCTATGATGTGTTTTGGGGCCCGCTTATTCAGGATGAAGGGTAATGCTTGTCAGGCCCCCCATAATGTGGTTTGGTTTTGGGCCCTAACCATATAGCAAAGATTCACAACTCGCAGGGGTTATTGAGAGTTGCAGGCACACTTAATCAAGCAAAAAACAGGCAACCATCAGGGAAGAGAGGAACTGCCGTTCTTGTCCCCACCCCCATTCAGACAGCTGCTTCTACTAGAGAGGAATTCATCAGGAGCCATCTTGACATTTGAAGGAGAATCCTCAATACATTAGCACTCAAGCAATGAACCTGCTGCTGGAGCCCTGCCCTCTGAAAACTGAAATGAGGGATTGTGTCTATAGTGGTTATATCGGGCCGGGCTTATGTTTATTTGGTTTTTGTCAAGTTCGTTATAATCAGACAAGGACTGGCACATACTCGCAGTAGCAAAGCCAAGACACGCTGGCCGTCGAGCTGCTTGAAGCCGTATTCCCTTGCTGTCCGAGGATGCATTAAATCCGGTATTAAACCCTAAACCCTGAACCCTGGCCGTAGTCCATTGCTGTCTGAGGTAGGATATGGTACGATGAGATGAAGGGTTTCGGCTTTGAGCTTTCCAGCCGTTCCGGTACTTGGGGTGTGGTTTCGGCTTTGAGCTTCCCAGGACTTTAGCATGTTCAGGGTCTGGACTTTGGAACTTCTGGCTTTGCTGCGGAGGTTGAAGGGAAACGAAAATGATTGGGCTCTAAACAAGCAGCAGAAGATGTTTGCACAAGCCCTGAACAGCAAAGAGCAGCTTAAGGTTGCACAAGCCCTCCTGAAGCCGTCGGCGAAGATTCGACTTTACAATATCATGGCATCCAAGCCCAAAAGTAAAACGCCAGGGAAGAATGAATGGGAGTTCACGAACGGGAATACCAAGCAACAACAACATACTAGGGATGATGTTCGGCCCATTTCCCCTATCTGGAACCCGAAATGCCATTTGAAAATGCTCCTGCTCAGAATCCAAGTTTACAACTTGCAATACATGGTAAGCCCTGAGTTTAGGATTTAGGGTAAGCCCTGAGTTCAAATACAGCGCGAGTCGCATTGCCGTCTCGCCCCACAAGGACCAACGGACACGTGTGGCACTGCCCCTCACGGGGTTTGAGGTTTAGCGGTTTCAGGGTCACTGGAAAAAATCCCTTGCTGGGCTACCCACCATTCTTAACAGTAAACTCTGTTATGGGCCAGGGCCCAGACGCTTTGCTGTGACCTGGTGAGAGGGAAGTTCCGAAAGTGTGCCCATGCATAATGAACGTTACGGCGGAAAGAGTGGGCAACGCCGGCAAATCTTATAAAGGATCCCGCCCGCTCACTCAATAACCCGACCCTCCAAACCTAGAGCTGCAAATGTTCAATTAAAGGCAAGAATAATTGCACGGAAGTGCACCTTCTCAGAGATATCTTGGGTGGACCGCCCCTGCAATACTGGTATAATCGGAATACAGGAGCACCCTAATACAATGTTACAGGGTGGAGGGTCCACCTAAGAACAAAGAATTTGGCTTTATAAGGTGAGAGGTCTTGCTCAAACGTCCACTTTTGGGCTTACAGGTTCAATGTTCAGGTGCAAACATTTATGGAAAAGAGTTTTGGAAAGGAAAATGAGGGTTATTGGTCTGAGAGCTTCGGGGTCAGACCATTGAAAATACATGTCAAAAACACTCACGGGTACGCCACCACCAAAAAACCCGAAACCGCAGAATCAGGAACCCATAACCGCCGTTGCGCATGAACCTTCAAGTCATAGGTGCGGCCTTCTGCAAAACAGCGATATTTTGCGAAATAAGTCAGAGAGGTGCCAAAGCGTCACGAAAAACCAAACCCTGAACTAGGGGTAATGTTGAATCCGAAATCCCAAAATTGTAATGCCTTGCACAAAGCCAATGCAGCCGGCGCCTCTCTGGGGTCAGCCACACAACCCGCAGAGGCTTGGTGCCATCCTTCTAAACTTGCATGAGAGGTTTAAAGGCTGAATGCTTAGGGTTTTTGGGTTGAAGCCCTAGACCTGAACCCTTACAAGTTTGAAAGAGGCGTTGAGCTTGGGAACAAATAGACCCAGGCTTCCGCTGTACTCCCCACCAGGCTCAACATCTTATCTATTTGGTTTCGTCTTTGTCTTTTTTCCGAGGATGTGGTGACTCCTCTTAATTGCGTGGAATAAGGGTGAGAGAAGGTGTGGAAGCTGTGGGGATGCATCTGTTGTTGGGGGTCCGGACAGATTTACAAACAGTTGGAAAAGAGACTTGTGCCGTTTCAGACCGGAGGTGCGTCGGTTTGGAATATGGACATTCAAAAGTTATCGTGCAAGTTTGAAGGATGTGGAAGTGAGACGGTGCACCCGTGCTTCTAGCAGGGGCTCGTGTCGTGATCTTGAAAAGACTCTTGTCGGGCAAGTCCAACTTGTCTGCTACATGCCGATCTACACCCCCAACCCTACATCGCAACCACAAGACTGGAAAAAAACCTGAAGGCTAAACCGTCTACC